CGTGCGTGGTCCCTGGTCTCCCTCTCCACCTGCTTGGGGGTCCAGGCAGCGTGGCACCCTCCACGGTGGCTCCTCCTCTGCGCCCTGGTCAGGGCCCTCTGGTCCCGGCTCGCTGCCCCCCGGGGTGGCACAGATCGCACCGCCCCCCAGGATGTGGTCCAGTGCCTCGAAGTAGGGGCAGATGTCTGCCCCTGCTGAGGAGCTGCCCCGAGTGGCCCTGGCGTACCCCTGCCACAGCTCTTTAATTTTCAGGTGCACCTGCTCCTGGGTGCACCTGTGGCCTTTCTGGGCCATCGTGGCAGCTATGAGGCCGTAGACAGCCGCATTCCTCCATCTAGTGCGGAGGTCATGGACATTGGAGGTCTGTCCCCAAACCTCAATGAGGTCCATGATCTCCTCACTAGACCAGGAGGAAGCATGGCATCTACGACCCCTGGCTGACTCCCGGGTGCTAGGGGACGGCTGGCTGGCACTGGCTGCCTGGCTCATTGTGGGGCCACTGAGTTGGTGCAGAGACTGCTGGCAGGCCTGGATCTGGCATGTGCAGTCTGGCCAGAGTCTTTCCCTTTAAGACCAGTAGGGGATCAGGTCTGACACTACCTTGTGGCCAGGGCGGCCAGCAGGGCTCCCTGGGAAGGGCAGGAGGCCCCCTATTTCGAATTAAGTGTCTACACAGCACTTAATTCGAAATAGCTATTTCAAATTTGGTGTTACTCCTCGTAGAATGCGGTTTACCAAATTCGAATTAAGTGCTCCGCTATTTCGATTTAATTTCAAAATAGCGGTTTGCATGTATAGCTGCTATTAAAGTTAATTTGAAATAATGGCTGTTATTTCGAATTAACTTTGCAGTATAGACATACCCCAATTGATTAAATTAGAAGTAATACACCTTTACTTAACAACTTAAAGAAACAGGGTTTACTAGACTAAACATGAATAAAATCAATTAACAAAGTACACAGAAATAAAGGAAACTTATCTAACTGGCATTTACACTGCCACCATCTATCCCACCCCAAAGTGTGCATTCCTCTGGATTCACTTGCTTGTGTGGGTGCACTTGAAGGTCTGCAGCTGAAGTGGAGACAGCACTATGCAGGTTGTGTGTCAGTTCAGCCAGGCAGCCAGCTGCAAAATCGCTCTGCCACCGGAGTAGGCTCCAGCAAATATCAGCAGCTCTGGTTCATTGGGTAGATCACTCTAGCTCTTTTTGGACCAACAGTCAGTTTGTCTTCTATGCTCCATCCCAGACCACAGTTACCCTCTGTGCAGGGTTATGCAGGCCCTTCTCAGCCACAGGCACAGCCAAAGTCTCTCCCTTCCAGGGACAATCACCAACAGCCCCTGAAGCAGCCTGCGAAATCCAAGCCCCAGCAGGTTCTCAGTAACAGGCTCTAGCTCCAACAAAACAGCT